TCTATGTTTTCATATGAAAACTAAAGAAAAAATTTCATGTCACAAATTAAATAAATAAAATTTTTTAAAAAAGCTACATGGAATGCCACGTAGGAAGATTCTGGGTAGAATAGTGACTTAGGGTTTGTAGTGAGAGAATCTTAATTTGTTAAGGGGATGAAAAAAATGTTAAGGGAGACAAAATCAAATCTCACTAATTTGGCAAGGGATATGATACAATTAACCCTTAAATTAATGTTTATAATGGCCCTTAGTTAGTTTTTATTTATTTATTATTTTATAACTAGGTATTTATTTTAAATTATGTTAGTGTTTCTTTTGATTGTGGATGATTTTATTTTAAATAGGATAATTATTTGTAAATTATTGTATATTATTTGTGAACTATAGGACTTTCGTTCATAATGAATCCTGCAAATATTACACAACCACCTTCCTCAAGATTTTTAAATATCGACATTGAGAGCACTAGACTTCTTCGTGATCGTGAGGACGCTACACGAATTTCAATTGCAATCATGCAACAGTTGGACAAATTATTTGTAGTCAACCTCTTGGTCATCGTTATGAGTTTTATTGGGATTTTCTTAGATGTTACTGATCAACATGTTTGGATAATCGAACACATTGTGATCCTAAAGACGATGTTATGAAGACGTTCCTTGTATATGAGATGTTCTCATATACTTTTATTTTCTTCTATGCACTTCTAGTGAAAAAGCTTAAATTAATGTTGAGTCATTTGATTTGAAGGAAGAAAATTCAAAATGCTTTTCAGAGTGCTCATGTATAAATGTGTCGCCATGCTTTCCCTAGCGTCACTTCTTTTGGGGATGTATTCAGGATGCTCTCCTTTATGGAGATCATGCAGATCAGATTAGGAAGGTTGCATTTCTAAAGCAAATATTTTGAAGTGGTTGTGGGTGTTATGTTCTTTTTTAGCATTCTAGAATGTATTCTGTAACACATGTGCACGCACGTGGGCGCACGGACACAAAAATACACATTATTTTCATAAAATTTATAGAATACTATTTCTATTTTTCTTGCCTTTATTTTTTAATTATATAAAAATAATAGATGGGCAATTATTTATTTACTTATTTCAATCTTCCAATATCATTTTTATTTTTTCCTCTACATGGTCTTGACGGTTACAATAATCACGTTGTTGTTTAATTTTTCTTAAATCCCTGTTCTTTCCGATTCTTTTCTTAAATCCCTATTCTTCATCTTTCTGATTCTTATTCCCTTCCCAAATATTTCCGTTGCAACATCCAAATCTTTCTGATTCCTATTATTTTCTCAAATCCCTATTCCTCATCTTCTTCATTTCCCCTTTTCTTCATCATCTTCGTCAATTGTAATTTCTTAGCGGCGGGCATTTTCGTTGGCTGGTGGTGGTGGGAGTTTAAACACAAACGACGAACAAGACACCCACTATCGTCAAGATTAGATTTTTTTGATTTATTTTTTCTATGTGGAACAGAAGAAGGGAGGAAACCAACACATGATTTTCTGTCGCTATACAGTAATTCAACTGTCAAACAAGATCCAAGGTCATCTGCTCAAGGTACTGAATTTTTGTTTTTAATTTTTGGTAATTATTATGCAAAAAGATTCGCTGTGAGAGATTTTACTTTCCTCTATTTTTCCATGTTTTTCTCTGACGCGGGGATCATGTTGTATAAATTTTTGTTAAGCCGGTACTACAATCAACATGCAAACTTTTCCTGTCACCATGAAATTGTATCTGATATGATTCTGTTTGTCTCATCACATTTCAATAGGGATGTTGATGGCTCTCTTAAATCCCCGCCTGCAAAGCATGTTGACACTGGGATGGGTTTTGAACGATTAACCTCTATTCTACAGAATAAAATGAGCAATTATGACACTGATGTCTTCGTGCGTATTTTCGATGCTATTCAGCTGGTATGGTTATTCAGAAATTAAAGCTTATCATATTTCTATATAAATAGGATTGATAAATAGCTCAGAATATGAATTCCTATTTTGCAAATTGTTACCTTGCATGCTGAAGCTGGTATTGCATGGGGAAAGCTCACTAGGGTGATTCCTTCCATTCAAATTATTTTAAATGTTATTTTCACTATGCCCGACTACTACTTCAATAGGTATCAGAAAGAATCTATGGCGACTACTACTTCAAAGGGTACCAGAAGGAATCTATGGCGACTACTACTTCACAAGGTACTGGAAGGAATATATGGTGACTACTACTTCAAAGGGTACCAGAAGGAATCTATGGAGACTGCTACATTAAAGGGTAGCAGAAGGAGTCTATTGTGACTACTACTTCAAAGGGTACCAGAAGGAATCTATTGCGACTACTACTTCAAAGGGTACCAAAAAGAATCTATGGCGACTACTACTTCACAAGGTACTAGAAGAAATCTATGGTGACTACTACTTTAAAGGGTACCAGAAGGAATCTATGGCGACTACTACTTAAAAGATACTGGAAGGAGTCTATGGAAAATATTACTTCAAAGGGTACCAGAAGGAATCTATGGCGACTACTACTTCAAAGGGTACCAGAAGGAATTTATGGCGACTACTACTTCAAAGGGTACCAGAAGGAATCTATGGTGAATACTACTTCAAAGGGCACCGGAAGGAATCTATAGAGACTACTACTTCAACAAGGTACTGGAAGGAATCTATGACGACTACTACTTCAAAGGGTACCCGAAGGAATCTATGACGACTACTACTTCAAAGGGTACCCGAAGGAATCTATGGCGACTACTATTTCAAAGGGTACCAAAAGGAATCTATGGCGACTACTACTTCAACAAGGTACTTGAAGGAATCTATGGAGACTACTACTTCAACAAGATACTGGAAGGAATCTATGACGACTACTACTTCAACAAGATAGTGGAAGAAATCTATGGCGACTACTACTTCAAAGGGTACCATAAGGAATCAACAAGGTACTGGAAGGAATCTATGGCGACTACTACTTCAACAAGGTACTGGAAGGAATCTATGACGACTACTACTTCAAAGGGTACCAGAAGGAATCCGCACTTGATTTCGTCTGAATGATGCGCTAGAAGATGTCTACGCCTGACTTCATCTAGAAGAGATATTTTCAGAATAACTTTATGGGAAAAGTCTTTGAGGGAAATACTTGTCAGAATTTAGTTTCTAAAGAAATTTGTCTGGTCATGCAGATAGTTGATGATATTCGTCTGTTTATAGACTTTACCTGAAAAGATAAAGGATTAGCTGTATGCAATATCATGATGTATGAAATGCATTGTGTAATGACGTTCTCAAAATAAACGAGACTATGCTATATGCGTTTCGTATGCATATGCTATGGTATTGGTAAATGATGGTGAATGTGAAATGTTATTGGAGTGCATTGCAAATTTGAGCAACATCTTAGTCTGGGGAAAATAAATCCCTGATTGTTGTTAGGGATGAAGGGTATGTGTATCTTCGATCTTTTGAGGATTGTTTCCGCTGGGGACTCCTGCTTGTTGTTTAAGGAAACTCCACTAGGAAACATTGATTTCTGCTTGCTGAGGAAAATCTGCTATAGAGTGTTAATTCCTACTCGGGGAGAAGAATTTGAGAATATTGGTTGTTCATTGCTCTACTGGGGAGTTTATTTCCTAACTGGGAATAGAAGAGACAGATAACTTTCTAGCCCATTTGAGGAGGATAAAGTTGACTGGCATCTGGTCCGGTTTCAGGTTCTATAGCAACTCCCTGGGGATAATGACGACTTCACTGGGGAGAGGAATTTAGCCGGTGATTTGTGGTAGAAGCATACTTAAGCTGGGGAGTATCAGAATAAACCTATGCCTTGATTGTATCTGAGGATGTATTGAATGAGTATCAGAATAATATCCATATCTGGACTGTATCTGAACCATATTTAGAAGATACACTGAATGAGTATCAGAATGACATCCATATTTGGATTGTATCTGAACTGTATCTGTAAGATGTACTAAATGAGTATCAGAATGACATTCATATCTGGATTGTATCTGAACTGTATCTAAAATGAGTGTCATAATGAAATTATATTTAGATTGTATCTGAACTGTATCTAGAAATGGATCTGGAATGAGTGTCAGAATGAATCTATATTTAGACTGTAACTGAATTGTATCAAGAAGTGGATCTGGAATGAGTGTCAGAATGAATCTATATTTAGACTGTATCTAGACGATGATTTGGAATGAGTGTCAGAATGAATCTATATTCATATTGTATCTGAACTGTATCTAGAAGTGGATCTAGAATGAGTGTCAGAATAAATCTATATCTAGACTGTATCTAAACTGTATCTGGAAGAGAATCTGTTTGGTGAAATAAACCCTGTTGGTGGAGAAATATTCTTGCTGAGGAAACACCCTTGTTAAGAAAATGAACTCTGCTGGAGAGCAGAAGTCTGAAGGGGTTTTACAACCTCGGAGGAACAAGCTCAATTGGGGAAGAAAAACTCCATAAATTGTACTGATCGGAATTCCGTAAGTTGGTGATATAAAATAATTTATCAAATTTTTGACAATGTTGTTAGGGATTGTTGAGTAATTTCAACAAGATAATAAGTTTGTGCTTTAGTTTTACTTTTAATTTTTTATTTATTTGTTTTTCATTTAAATTTTGATTATTTTAGTTATAATTTTTAGTATTAGTTTTTATGTTGAACGGTGATATTAAGGTATTTCTATATATTTTTTATTTTGTACTTGAGGTGACAGCTCTCAAGGACTATGTTAGATTTTAAGCCTCATTTATAGATAGAAATGATTGTATATAAAGTTGTAATAAACCAATTTTTTTTGGATAACCACGTAACCCAACCATTACAATCGTTATACGTTCCTTAAAAACCGTTCATTACCTTAATTTAGAATTCCACTAAACTATAAAACACCCCCAACACCCATGAAACCAATGAACACAATCTCTCCCTCAAACCAAGGAACACAAACAAAACAAAAAACAAGATGAATTCTTCAACAATCTGTTCCGTGTTTCTTGGTTTGATCCTAATTTCTCAATACCCTTTCGCTGCAAATGCAAGATCTCATAGATTATCACACGGAAGCCTAATTTCCGTCGTTTGCAGCACTTCAACCGATAAGGCAGAGTGCAACAACATCCTCGGATCAATTCCTCAAGCCGCACAAGTGAAAAACTACCGTGAACTCGCAAAGGTTGTTCTCGAAATGGCCATCGGCAAAGCCTCGGAAGGACAAACTTTTCTTAAAGGATTAGCAGCAGCAACCAAGAGTCCAGCATTTACACGGTGTGCAAATTTTGATTATGATGGTGTTGTTATGTCTTTTAAAAGCTCTCTTGGCGAGTTGAAGAAAGATCCTCAAACTGCTAATTATGATGCTAAGGTTGCTAGTGATGGAACTGCTCAATGTGATAGAGGAATGGCTGCAGAACATATTGTTAATCCTCAAGTTACTGCTCTTAACCGTCAAATTGCTTTTTATAGTGAATTGGCATTCCTAGTCACTAACTACCTTTGATTTCTCTTGTCTTGTGTGTATTTGGGGATTATGAGAAATTTTAATTGGATTTCAATGTATCAAGGGAGAATTATTAATAAAATATAGCAATCTATTTTGTGTTCATTTATATTTGAATATTTCATTGTTTACTAATTTCTTTATTTGTACTCCAATTAATTTTTTCCAAAGTTTTAACAAATTAGTAGAAGATTCGTGCGCATGCTAGATTAGATCGTTTGATGATCGAACTGAGTAAAAAAACTTTTCCTTTTTTCTTGTCTTATTATATTATATTATTTGTGTATTGATTATTATTGTTGTAGGTAATTTATTTTAGTTGCTATAGTTATTTGCCTCACAAATGAATATTAAACCTTGTTGTTATTCACAAAATAGACTATTCTAAACATTTGAATCTGGAATGTGATATTCTTCCACTTGGTAATAGTAGATTTGCTATCCCACTCGATGCAACATTCAAAACAATATCACAATTTGAACGCAAAGTTGCCGAAAGTATTTTCTACATAAAAGTCTTTTCAGTTCCACTATAATCATATAAAAAAAATACTCTTCCTTTTCGTTCCGACATAACTTGTATAATTTCATTGAAAATTTGTAGTTGTTCATATATGTCGAGAAAAAAACATTGAGTTAGTGTTAAATGGAACAAAAACTAGCTCAATATAAAGTATATAAGTAGTATTTTTTAAATCACAATTTAACACATTTACATATCCAAGCATTAATGTTTAATTTAATAAGTTAACAAAATGTATGTAATTTGCTACAAATCTATTGTGGGGCAGTTACTTTTTGTGACATATTCAATTTGACATGGTAAACATATTAATAGATGCATGAATGCTATAATCATGTGATATTTGTAAATTATATAAAGAAATAGTGTTAATTTTAAATAAGTGTGGGAAAATATTGTAAACTCTCAATAATAACTGCACTCAGTCGCATAATTGCTAACATTACCATTGTTCAGAAAATGTTATTAACAGCTGTAATGCAATTAATGTTTATTAAAAATTACCCAACCATTGGCATTCGAATTTTAAAAAGCATTGCATGTGTATTAATTCAATCTTTGAAATCTTTCTTGGGCTGATACACGGTTAATTATAGTTGGCCCACGTGAGAGAATTGTCCCATTTTCATTCTATAAATAGTTTGGCCTGTTAACTTCAATTTACAACACAGAATTATCTCTCTCTTTGGAAGAAGTACCTTCACAGTTACGAATCCTCCAAATAGAATGTATGTGGCGTTGATTAATCGTGATTGAAAGTTAAACGCGTGGGGTGTTATGTTGAAGTTAACCATCCTTGTTTTAGACATCAGGTTGTTGGAAGTTTAGTGGTATGTTGAAGCCGCTTTAATAGTTGAAGATGTATGTTAAAATGTAGTTTGTGCTTTAATATATGTTGTTATGTATGTCTAATTAAGTTTAGGTTATGTTGTTGATGTAATGGTAATGTGGACTCTATGGTCCAAGATTGTACAATATCCTATGTTATTATGAGTAATTATAGCTCGTGTATTATAGTGATATGAATTGTTATTTTTTTTGTGATAGTAGTGATATATGTATAGTAAAAAGAATATCTCATGTAAGTGATGAGATAACTTGTTACCATTATCAAATAGAGTGTGATACGGTGACAAAATCGACTGTTTTTACTGGTTTGTGTTTTGCGTTTTTTGTTCGTAAAATGTCGCGGTAAGCAAGAGTCGCCACCGACTTTTATTTCATCCAATCATAGAAAAGGAAAAAGAAGAGAAAAAACCTTTTTCGAGAATATTCTGAGTACGGGGATAGATTATAGAAATGGAAGGTGTTAGTACCCTTTCTATCCATGGTTTTCCATGGGCTCTAAGGTACTTACTTATCTTTATAAAATTGCTTGTGTGTGCTTGTTTTGAAAAAAGTTTTACTTCGTGATAACCCTTGTATCAGTCCTCAAGGGTGTGACGAAGTTGTTTTTGAAAATTGTTTTGAAAGGTGTTTGTAGGAAAAGTTTTATTTGAGCAAGTACTTAAGATTTCTACCAACTCGAAAAAAGATTGTTCGTTCTCGTTTCCTTTAGACAGCGCTATCCTACTATTAAGGAGTAGGTAGCCACGTCGTTGGAGTTTGTAAGGGACACTCGAAAGTGGCAAGTACAGTCACTAAAACAATGGGTAGGAAACTTTAGTAGTAACCCTAGAGCCTTAAGATCTTTCCGAGGCAACATTCGAATGGAACATTTGATCTTTTAAACAGGAGGACAACCACTAAAATCTCCTATGCTTAATGACTGTTTTACCGAAGGCAACCGAAGTGGAGTAAACCCTAGGAGTGAGCATGTGCGAGTGTAATTTTCAGTTAATTTATCTTTGCACAATTAGGTTATCTACCATTTTAATCTTCAAGCATTCTTTCCATACAATCCTATTAACCATGCATCTAACAGTTTATTGTTTGTGGAAATTAAAAGTGCGGGAAGTTTAAAGGTCCTAGCTATTACAAGGCTTTGGCAGTTACATAATTATCTTGACTGAAAATAAAAATGTGGAATTTAAAACCCTAATTACTATTACAAACTCGGAGCAGTTACAATTATAATAAAAAGAATTAAAATGCGTGCGGCGAATTAAATGCGAGAATGGTAAAAAACCCTAAAAATATAATTGATGAAAATATTTAGGTTATTTTTGAGAAAAGAATTAATTAGGTTATGTACAAAATTAACCCTAATTTCTAATTATTTTTAATTATAAAGAGGAATTAAATTGCCTTAAATTAATTAAACTAAATTAATTAATTAAAGAAAAAAGTATTTTTTATGAAAGAAAAAAGATTTTTGGTGTTTTCATGATTTTTTTTTATTAAATAAAAAAATGATTTTTGATATTAATTAAAATAATTAAGGAAATAATTAAAAGAATTAAAAATAAAAATAATAGAAAAAAGAGAAGAATTGGGCCTGTGTTATGCTGAATGGGGGGTGTCTGTTGGAATTCTCCAGGCCCATTATCCATCCAAGCCCAATCAGCGCTTGATTCCATGTGGCGTTGACCTGAGGGTATACCATGGTCCTTGACATGTGGGACGTTGGATTGAATGGATGATGAATCCATTGGCTGGAGATTGGTAGCGCACGGTAGGACGTTTGGACTAGGGGTGCATTGAATCTGCAAGTGTGAATTAAGAAAACAAAGAAATTTGTTGGGACCTGGGATCGAACCCAGTTCCTCTCACTTACCAACAGACGCCCTTGCCAGCTATGCTACGTTGATTAATTGTTAAAGGAATAATAGTAATACATAATATATAAAACAATTTCATTGAAACTGAAAAAAACCGCGCGCGTTGTAGTCAAATAAGCCAATAGGGTGATGACAAATCACCGTCTTCTTCCTTCTGTCCATCGTCTTAGGTAGCTGACTTATACCTACGGACAACGTCTGTAACTTCAAGCCTGTGAATTTCAAAAATCATCAACATGCATGATAAATCAACTATGGCTATACCAATCAATTTGTTTTGACCCACGAGTACGATGGTACCCTTTGTTTAGGCCAATTTAACCTGTATAACAAAATCCCAAAACGCAAGGACAAACCCTAATAATGGGAAATGCATATCTAGGCATCAAAAATTCAATTGAATCATTCAGTCACGTTGCAAACATATCCATAATCACAAATATATCAATCAAATGTGCTAATGATGTAAGAATTGATGTAATCGATTTTAAAAAATAGAGCAAACCGTGTGACTGGTAGCATGCGTTTATGGGAGCGAGAGGACTTGCAAATGATCCAGTTAGCTTCAGAGATGCTCCAGGATGCGATTGGCAATGTTAGAATGACTTGAATTGGTCTGTAGCTTAAAATCCGATCCACACTTTTCTTTGAAATTTTGGAGTTTTGTTCTTGCTTTTTCACGACTATCACCCTTTTTTTGCCTTGTACTTGTTCATTACATATGCTAGAACGATTTAGGGTTCTAAAAACCATATGTATCTTTGCAATTATGGAAGATTTGATTTAATTTCCATGTCATATGTAAACTTGCTATATTGAGCCAAATTATCCCTTTCTTGTACCAATCAGCCCTAATTCGATTTGGCCTTGATGTTTCAGCATATTTTGATTACAATCCTGTCAAAATATATATCAAAACATATATTTGCTATTATTTATCAATTATTTTATTTAATTAAATTTTTAATTAATAAAAAATAAAAATAAAATGGAAAATGAAGCAAATAACATGTGGATAAGTAATTGATTAATGGACCATGTTATAAGTGAGGTGAAATCATGAAATGCTAGGCCCATTTGGTAAAAAAAAGCATTTTTGAGCATATTTGACTTTTGGCATTTTTGCAAAAAAGGTCAACTTTGACAAGGCATATCTCTTCCAATTTTAACCCTAGAGATGTGTTCTTGGACTTTTTAGAAATCTTATAATGTCCCCTAAGCAACCCTTTTGGTCTCATTTCAATTGGGCCTTCCATGTTCATGTAAGAAGCTTTGACCAAAAAGATGTTTTTTGTTGACTTTTCAAAAGGACCTATAATGTGGAAATTCATATCTTTTTGTGAGTGCATATTTTGAAATTGTGGGATGAATATGAATTGTAGGGAATTGCATGCTCTTCAAAATTATCCTTGGATGGAAATTTTTTGATAAAGTATGTGGAAGTTATGCTTGGTCAAAGTTTGGTTGACTTTTCCTAAGAAACCCTAATTTAGCAACTTTTGGGTTTTGATGAATTTAGGGCATTCCTTGAAGAATCATGATCAACCCCTGAACAAATTATGGATATAACTTCAAAATGTTGATGTTGACCCAAAATCTTGAAGTTTGACTGTATGTGGGCCACAACTGACTTTTGACCTAATACAGTCGATTCTCAAGCATCTGAGAAGTTGGCTGAGCAAGCTTCTTATGTAGTGCTTGAAATTTGACATGGAGGGTCTTGAGAACATATTAGGATCATGTAGAACATATGAGGT